CTTGCGGATCTGCAAAAACTGCTCGAATACGTACCTCCCGGGACATATTTCGCGGCCTGTAGAAACATCCGCAGGGCTACGTTTCCACAATGAGCCTGGGTTGGGTTTAATTGTACTGCAGAACTCTAAAACTGTATTATTAATATATTTATTTTATATATGAAATGTCATAAATGTGTTGATATACTGAAATCAATCAGAACAATCATTGATAATAATAATCCTGCACATCATTTTACAGAACATGTGAATTTAACATGGGTTAAGTGAGGTAACCGCTGGGTTAAAGTCAGGGTCAGGGGCGGGTTTAGGGTTAGCACCTAGTTATAACCCCGGTTATGTAATGACTATGAGCAGTACTGTAGACCGTATGAAGATGTGGAACAGCAGTGTAGAATAAAGAGCTGCAAAACCTACTTTCCTTGTTAAAGTTTCAAAATGAATCAAGAATATGCTCAAACCTTTGAACTGAAATGATTCAGATTAGATGCACAGAGAGTCTGAACAACAACAATCATTCAATCATTCATTCATTCACCTCCAGCTTAGTCCCTTTATTCACCAGGGGTCACCGCAGTGGAATGAACCGCCAACTATTCCAGGATATGTTTTACACAGTGGATGCCCTTCTGACTGCAATCCAGTAAACACCCATACACACTCATACACTACAGCCAATTTAGTTCATCAATTCCCCTATAGCACATGTGTTTGGACTGTGGGGGAAACCGAAGCACCTGGAGGAAACCCAACTGACCCAGCTGACCCACAGCTGACCCACTCACACACACACGCACTCACACACACACGCATACACACACACACACAGAACTGGTCATGATTTCAGCATCACACACTCATGATTTCAGCATCAGGGTCATGATTTCAGCATCAGGGTCATGATTTCAGCATCAGGGTCATGATTTCAGCATCACGTGTGTCTTTTTCTTCTGTTTCAGGGATTTTCAGTTTGGACACATGTCTGGGAACGACTACATCAACAGCCTCATCATGGGGTGAGAATCTGCTCTGAGTCCTGCATGCTCACACGCACGCACATACTGCTATAGGGCACTCTGGGTCTCCTAAAGGAAGGTTAAGAGGAGACAGTAGAGGATGTGTCATGGTGTGTGTGTGTATCATCGGTGTGTTCAGTGATGATGCCTATGTTCTTCATCCTCAGCGAGGTGTCCATTCCCAGCATCATCATCCTCAACACCTCTAATGAGCAGTACTTTCTGCCTGCGGAGCCTGTGGAGGATCTCCAGCAGATGCTGCAGTTCTTCAGCAGTGTTCTGGACGGCAGCGCTCCGGTAAGCACACACACACACACACATGCATAAACACACACACGCACGCACACACTGTGCTCTTGTTAAGCTCTGATGTTTGTCTCTGATGATGTGTGTGTGAGCTGTGCTGTGCTTG